TAGATAGATAGATAGATAGATAGATAGATAGATAGATAGATAGATACATAGATACATAGATAGATAGATACATAGATACCATGTCTTATTTTCTTTTGACCCCCAAAATAAGCACTTGTCCTTATTTTTGGGGGAGGTCTTGTTATTTTTGAGGTGCAGGAGGTAGCAAGCGAGGTCACCTTATGGCTGCTGCTTTGTTGCAGTATTTTGGGGGAGGGCTTATTTTAGCGCATGCACTCAAAAGCCCAATTGGGCTTATTATCCAGGGAGGTCTTATTTTCAGGGAAACAGGGTATATACATAGATAGAGACAGACAGATGATGATGATGATGATGATGATGATGATGATGATAGATAGATAGATAGATAGATAGATAGATAGATAAATAGATAGATAAATAGATAAATAGATAAATAGATAAATAGATAAATAGATAAATAGATGTAGATAGGTAGGTAGGTAGGTTGGTAGGTAGTAGAAAGATTGATAGATGATAGATAGATAAATACACAGACAAACAGATGGTGTGTGTGTGTGTGTGTATGTGTTTGTAGATGTGTGTGGCATGCTTGCTCTATAGCTGGTAATAGACAAGTAAAAATTTGGGGAGGGGGATCCTACTTTATATTTTAAAAATGCTGAGCTCTACAAGGATATATACCTATGTTTAGATGTGCAATATGCAGTTTATTTACTTATTCATAAAAGCATTAATTACCATATAACAGCAGCTCATGGGATGATTGCCAGTAAAAAAAACACACACAGCTAAAATACACATAAGGTTATGTTGAATGGGTTCACCCCAGCTAAAATATAATTGGTTTAGCTCAATGGATGAAGGGGCAGGCTAGGGAAAAAAAATTTAAAACAGTAAAAAAAGGCTGATTTTTGAATTTCGGAAACCCTCCCAAGAGATGCAGGAGCTGCAAAGACTTTGCCTATTCCAAATAACTTGACTTTGTTCTGAAATGTTTCCTTGTCACTTTTTTTTTTTTTACTCGAGCCTCTGAAAAAGAGAGAGGGACTCCAGGGCTTGGAGGAGGCAGTGGATGTAGCACCTAGAAGCCTTTGAAGGAAGTATCTACTTCCTGTGCAGGGAAAATATGTTAGCCTGGGATGATCTGGCCTGAACAGCAGCAGCAGCAGCAGCAGCAGCAGAGGAATGGCTGGGAACAGGCCCCCCCCTCTGTCCACCCTCCTGCCTCTTGTGGCTGGTGCCTCGGGGATGGAATTGGAAAGGGCAAGAGGTCTCCTGTTGCAAGGTCACTGGTGCGTTTCCTTCAGCCTCTGGCATGTGGAGAAGTGTCTGTGGTGGATCTGGGGCGGCATCTCCTCTCGTAACCTTTGCCGTCAGCTCCAGTTCTTTGTTATTTGTTCCTCGCAGCGGAGACTTTATTTTTCACGACGTGGAGGTTAACTTAAGGAAGGCTGTGGATTGTTCCTATGCCTGAGTGGTATGAATAACCTCCATTCAGAATTGAGTTTGTCATGTGCAGCCTTAAACGCTGTCTGACAAGTTTAGGAGTTGCGTTTCGTGTGAAAATAGGGAGGCTTAGGCTAGGCGTGTGATGGAGAATGTCCCATTTGAAAAGGGCTGGTTTATTTCTGGAGTTATTTACTTCACACTTGCTTTCTATTACAGACCTCAAGCAGGGGCTATAGACTTCCTAGGCAGTTTTTAATTCAAGCATTGGCAGGAGCCATGCCTTATCATGCTGAGACCAATATGGCACATTATTCCACTGCCCATAGTGTGAATAATATAGACTAGCAACAGTTTAAATGGATGACGGTCTGTTTATGCAGGCCAGCTCTTATTCCTGCTTTTGACCAGGGGACACAGGGAGGGAAGAAAAATTATGGAATATTTTTAGGAAGGAAACGTAATTTTAAAAAAAAAACAAGAAAGAGGCAAAAATAAAACACAAAGTGAAGAGGCAGGAATTTACAGGCCTCGCAGAATCAAATAAGGCTCTATTTGTTAAGTAAGAATTTTCAGCTCATTAATTTTATGTAACTAAGCATCTTGTTTTAAAAGCAACAAGTCATTGTTAAATTTTTTTAGTGTGTATGTGTGCGTATAAAAATATACATATAAATAAAAGAATGGCATTAATCAACAAAGATAAAAAATTACAGTAATTTCTGTCTGATCAGTGAAAGATCCGTATTGATCAGATCCTATTTCTACAAACATGCCATTCCCCCCCCCCCCCCCCCCCCACTCCAACAACCCTCAGTGTAAAGAAGTGTTTCTACATGGTATTGGATCTGGGTACTTGAGAGACCGCCTACTGCCAATAACCTC